GAATTTGATCACTTCCTCCTCGAGGGCTTGCTGCCGATCCTGGCCTAACTTCCTCCTCTTTTGCATGACCGACTTAATTGTTGGGTCGACCTACAGCCTGTGGCAGGCAACATGCGGGTCAATTCCGACCATGTCCTCGTAGGTCCATGCGAAGACGTCTGTGTTTTTTAAAAGATATTCTATCAGCTCGGGTTTCAGCGGCTCCGGTAGCATGCTCCCAATTCGGAGTTGCTTTTGGCATGTCTTCTCATCGATGAAAATGATCTCGACTTCATCCATTGGCTCAGACCTTTTGGTCCCCCTCTTTTATTCATATTGGTCCCGGGGGTCGAGCTCATCTTCCTTAGTGACCGGCTCTTTGCCGGCCCCTCTCCCTCTGTCCTGATCCAGGTCGGCTCCGGACCCTCCGTTCACTTGGTCGGGGCCACTCTCGGCCAAGAAAAGCAGACCTATCTGGTTTCCCAGCATGTGGTCGTCCCTCTGGCCGAGGTTTACCAACTCGACATCTAAGTTTGGGATGTCCAGGTCGTCTCCTGTTTCAATCTTTAGGTCGGCCATTTTTACCTCGTGGTTGGGCACAGAGTTGGCCACGTTTATCTCCATCATAGGGATAGTCAAAACACACACCTCCATTCTCGTTGGTCTCCGCGATAGGTGCCTTCTCCATCTGAGGTCAGCAATTTGATGGAGTAGTGGAAAATGGAAACTGCATCTTTCAACTTGTAGAGCGCCGTCCTGCCTATGATGGCGTTGTACTCACTTGGACAGTCCACGATCTTGAAGGTTTTGAGGATCGTCCTCGTGGGCTGCCCGTTTCCTCCAAACTTGATCGGCAACACGAATTGGCCAACATGGAGTGTTGTTTGTCCGTTGAAGCCCTAGATCCACTCTCGGTAGGGTTGCACTTCATTCATGTCGACACCCATCTTTTTGAAGGTGTCATAGTAAACTATACTCGCATAGGCCCCGGTGTTGACCATGATGTGGTGTACCTTGATCTCCATGATTGGTGTTGTGATCACAAAGGCGTCGGAATGTGGATGGTCGAACAGGAAAGCATCCTCATTGGTGAAGGAGATCTTGTTCGTTGTTAGTTTGGTTGTCGGTCTGCTGCCAGCATGTTGGACCCTCTGCCCGACATAATAGGCTTTGCAGGCGTAGGCCTTGGTCTGTCTCCTCGAAAGGAGAGAGTCACCTCGGCTCGTGTTGACGCGCCGAGGTGGGTATGTCGTTTGGTCGACTCCCTGCTGTAGGGATCGATCTCTTTTCAAGCCCCTTGAGGTGCCGGCCTCACCTTGGTGTGTCGGGCTGAAGGTCATGATTTCTTTATTGTCTCCCTGATGCAGCCTCTTTCTTCGATGGTGGATGTCAGAATCTTCATCACTCTCGGGGCCGTCCTCAAACCATCCCCCTCTCTTCTTCTTATTGTTGGAGTGGGTGAACTTCTTCATCTGCGGGTCATCTATCAATCTGAGCAGTGCCGTGATCAGATTCTGGCACTGGTCAGTATTGTGCCCTTGACCCTTGTGATAGGCGCAGTACCGGGATTTGTCGACCTTGCTCTAGTCGGCATGCATGGGTTTCATATCTGGGAGTAATCTCTTAGCCTTGATCTCTTTGTAGACCGCGGCTGCCCCCACAGAAAAGACGCCCTAATAATTCTCTTTGAACTCTTTGGCCTTTGTCTTCTCAGAGCTCGGACTTCTGCCATTGACTTGCTCGGTCGGGATCGACATGGATTCCTCCTCCATGATATTGTCCTGGGCCCGGGCTAGAAATTCCTGGTAGGTGGTTGGTTTGTCCTGGCATAATGACCATTTGAACAGGGTTTTTGGACTCAGCCCGGCTTGCACGGATATCAGCAAGGTCTCTGGATAGCACTGCTCCATGTTCTGAACTCGGTCGTTGAACCGAGAAATATAATCTTTCTGACTCTTCTCGTCCCTTGAACGATGTTCGTAATTGACTCCTTTGGGGCGAGGTTAATCCGTGACCCGATGAAGTGGGAGCGGAATGCCGTCCTGAGCTGCCC